ACCAGCTGCATCAGGTGTGTCTGTACGCATGTTTGTGTTTCCGGTGCCAGCTAGTGGTCAGACTTATGATTTGCTGAATGAAGTCAAACAAGCTTGACACAATGCCGCATCAATCCACTCCCCAGACTCTGTCGTCTCCCATCTAATAAATATATATATATATATACCCAGAATAAACTGACATGTCATGGGATCTTACCGCACATTAACTAATGTTACAACCCTACCTATGTGAGCTTTTAAGGGTAAAAACGCATTTCAGAATTCCGGCCAACGTTTCGTGAGCTAGCATATCTTCTGTACACATATATGTATACATAGTCCCTTGTCTGTTTAATACTGTCTGGTATGAAGCAGATCTACTTTCGCGGTGATGAATGCGTTCAAGCCCTTCTAGATGATGCCAGTTTTAGGTGTGCGTTGTTTAGCGTGCAATCAAATGTCGATCCATAGGGCGGCAGGAGCAGCGTCAGTAGGCACGGTTTGCGCGGCCTGTTCTTCAAAAAGTCTCGCCATCTCCGCCCTCACCGCCTCCCTCCCAATCAATTGACCTTCATAAATCTGGTGAACCCCGCAGGTCTGCTAACTCTAGCTCTCTGCGCTTTCTAGCCGTCATTCACAGATAGGGAGTCGCCATGGCTGCCCACACCAGCCTGAAATAAATGCGTGGGCGGCATCGGTGCTGTTGTAGCAGACATCAGCCCTCGGCCTCTTGGTTGTAGTACCTCGATGGTGTGCACTCGTTCACCCGAAAAGGTTTCCACTGACCTGCTTCACAGTTGGCTCGGCAGTCTAGCCTTTACTTTGAAATGGCTTCAGCTTTTGCACTCCGAGAAAATCCACATGGGCCACGAAATCCCTAACGATCAATCCATCTAGGAGTGTTAGGCTTTTTTGAAGGGGAATGAGCTTCGTCCTTTGTCACAACTCGCAAGGCCTTTGTCGAAGACCTGCAATACCCTCTAAGATTTAGTTGATTCCATTGGTTCGATGAAAGTGTTTGACGTAACTCGTGAAATGCGCAGCTAGTCAACGGAAATTTTTTACCAATCGGAAGCCTGCTTAAATCCCTCGATTAGTAATGAACGACTTTAACTTGAATAAGAGCATAAGGGTAATATCGGTAGTATTGTAACATGGGTTAGCTGTAGCAATTTGGCTAAGACAAATGGACACGCTAAACGATCAACTTTTGGACTAAGATGAAAAGCGTTTAATTCCTAGAAATGCATACCGCCTGTCTAAGTCAACGGTATTAAAACATAGTTTTCTAATACACCAGTTGTATCTACTTAGCTCTAAGAATTAGTGCATTATGAAGTAGGACACTTAATTAACTGCTTGCAGCTCATATTGTTTTTGTTGTAATTTAGCCATATTTGCGTTTCTTGAGATGCTGCGAATAATGCAAATTGGATTTCGCTTGATTTCGCAGACAGGGCCGTCATAAGAATAAACCTTGTCGAGTGGTCACATCTTAGGTTTGGCGATGGACAGTTAGGGTAGTGGAACAGAACCAGCAGATGTAATTGAAGCTACTTTGTAGCTTTCCGTAAGAGCAGGCTTCCATGAATTTTAAGGTATCAGTAAATGCTTTGCAATTTTGGCTTTTTTCCTATTCTAATACACAAAACGATAGGCTCTGAAATTTTTATTTTATTGATATTTTCAAAATGAGGTCCTGTTGAAAAACCATTACGCTAAATGGTGAATTTTCGGCTGACTTCTTGCTCAGGCGTGGCACGAAAAATGAGCTTGCACAACAACGTTCTGCTACAGAAGAGCGTTAAATCGATTGACCAATCTCCACTAATAGCGTCCTTTATTTTTACCGTAGTGAAGAAGACGTGTTGGAACACTTTGTCGCCTATGCATTTCTCTGAGAGAAGCAGGCATTATTTTCCGCCGCAACCAAAAAACGCACTTCTCTTTTTACATGTTGGTGTTGCATTAGCCTTCATTGCTTACTTTTAAGCTTCGCTTTGCTATTATAATTTGACCGAAGTGTAGCCGTCATACAATAACATACTAATGGGGCTACTTATGCAGAAATGAGACTGTACAAGATGCACCAAGCCGCAAGCTCAAGGGCTAAGATGGTTGATTAATGATGGTTATTTTACCGTTCGTTTATGGAATAAATGCTGATGCCGGAAAAATAGAGGAGCGCTAACATAACTAACCGCCTGTGGGCTTTGTTACTAGCTGTGTTGCGTAAAATAATACATATTTAAAATCAATAATTTTCAAAGTAAAGCAATTCATTTTTGGAGAAAATCATGCTCCCTCTTAACTTGCGTCATCTGATCTATGCGAAATTTTAAACTAATGTTTCATCAAAAGTAGTCTTCATCGGTATCACATTCCCCCAAAACGTACCGATGCCCAAATGTGATGTTTGACAGTGATTAATTTAGGATTTATTCTGACTAGAAAGCGACGTTTGGTACTAGGCACCTTAGCAAAAGTGATTGTTTCGAAGTAACTCTGCGTGAGAGAGCGTTAGGCGGATAGGCAAGATTAAAATGGTTTGAGATGCGTTCAAGCAAACGCATAGTTTTCGGTCGATAAACATCACAAGTCATGTTATCCATAGTAGATGTTCGTAAGCGGGAAACATCATTCGGCATCCTTCTTTTTTCCTCGCGTGCGGAGTTTTAATTGTGAAATGAAAAAATTCGACGGACATGGCGCAACATCTGCCTAACAATGTTCCAGAATTTCATAATTACAATTACTTTTGCAAAATCATATACATAATCACGTAGTTATTATCGTCAAATTTATTACGAAATAGGATTTTGGAAAGCTACTACTCGGAGTAAAGTGATTGCAGACTTCACTATTTAATTAATTCAAATAGTTTGTTGACTGTCACTGCCATACATCCCCACCCACTTCAAGACTGTTTAAAGCGTAAACTTCGAATTTAACGCTGAAATCATTCTCAGCCATAAAAGGCTGAAAACGTTACAACAATGCTTGATGATAATGTGAATATTACTAGGCTTCACCACTCAAAACATTCAGTGAGATCGTTATGACTTTTCAGACTAGCTATACTTTCCCATAGCTTTCTATATTCATTATGTAGTATGCGTCGCAATACCCCACTTACTATAGTGGAATTTCGCACGACGTCAAGTACGAAACGTATTTGTTACTTTAGAGAGGAAAACAGCGAGACATACAATAGCGCCTGTCAAACTGCAAAGTAAAAACTTGGAGTAGGCTTTGAAAAGCCATGTCCAATTGTTATCTAGTAGGTTATGTGACTTTAGGATTTCTGATAGGAAACAGGGCTGAATACGTATCCTAGCATGAAAGCCTTATTGCATTTAGAATCAAATACAAAATGTTGCAGCTAGTGTGACTAACTTGCCTGCATTGTTGCCGGTTATAAAACCACCATTAGCTATTGTCAGGATTCTGATTTGATCGTTTTTCCTGTGCGCCTCAGGCAGTGAGCATATGATATGAGTACTTTGTACTTTCCTTGGTGCGTAAATTAATACATATTTAAAATTAATAATTATGAAAGTAGAACAATTTATTTTTTGGACAAAATGTGCTCCAACGTAACCTGCATCATCTAATTTATGCGAAACTTTAAACTAATGTTTAAGTAAAGTAGTCCTCTTCGGCATCACATTCCCAAAAAGACGTACCGATGCCCAAATGTGATGTTTGATAGTGAATAACGTAGTATTTATTCTGGATAGAAAGCGACGTTTAATACCAGGTACCTTAGTAAATATTATTGTCTCGAAGTAAACTCTGCGTGAGAGGGGACTTTCCTAAAAGCGTTAGGCGGATAAGCAAAATTACAAGGGTTTGAGGTGCGTTAAAGAAAACACATAGATTCTGGTCGTTAAAGTCCATAAGTCATGTTATCCATAGCAGATGTTCGTAAACGGGAAACATCATTCGACTTCCTTCCTTTTCTTTTGCGTACGGAGTTTCAACTGTGAAATGACATTTCATCTAGCCAACAGTGTTCCAGAATGTCATAATTACAATTACTTTTACAAAATCATGCAGACCAACACATATTTATTGTCGACGAAGTGGGATTTTTGAAAGTTACTACTTGGAGTAAAGTGTTCTGCAGAATTCAGTATTTAATTAATTCAACTAGTTGATTAACTGTCACTGCCACACGCCCCCGCCTATTAAAGATTAATAACGTAAAGACTGTTTAAACTGCAAGTACGAAATGTAGTCATTGCGTTAGAGAGGAAAACAGCCGGACACATAACAGCGCCTGTCTAACTGCATAGAGTGTCATTTAAAGCTTAGTGAGAAAATTGGCTCACCAAACGTTCACAAGCAAAGCACAAACTTGGAGTGGGCTCTAGGACTTATAGCAATTTCCAATTGCTAGCTGGTTGGTTAGGTGACTTTAAGATTCCTGATAGGCAGCTGGGCTGAATACGTATTCTAGCACGGAAGCGTTATTGCATTTAGAATCAAACACAAAAATGCTCCAGTTATCGTGTCTGGTTGCCTTCCATTGCTGCCACATATAGCACCACTATTAGCTATAATCAGAATTCTAACTTGATTGGTTTTGCTGTGCGCCTCAGGCAGTGAGCACATGATATGAGAACATGACAATCAAAGTCCCAGGAAGATATGCTTTGCCATCAGGGTTTACCTCAAGGAATGCGGCCCTCGAGGCTGTTGTGATGTTGCCAACACTTTACCACTTCTGTTGCAGACGGCTGTGTAAACCTGGTGTGCTGTGTCCACTCGAATTAAAATAAGTAGATCCGTATACCTAAGAGGCTGTGGCAAGCAAACCGGCAGAACACCGTTCCAAATCAGAAGATCTCGTCGAAGGAGGGAGAGTGTTTATTAGGGAACGGTAATAGCGGGAGAGCGAAGGGGGAACGAGACACAAGAGGGCTCAAGAGGAAGAAAAGAAGGGAAACACAAGCAGGCAGCCAGAAGATCCAACCGCACAGGCCACGGGGGAAACCGGAGTGTCCCTTGTCCAATCAGGCGTCCTCTTCTGAGACCTCGCCCGGGATTGGTTCTTCAGTTTCTACAATGAGTTAAGATCAAACAGAGAAATATGACTATAATAAGGGAGTGGTCATGGCGAGTTTTCCAGCACACTGCCCCCTCCTGTAGGACCGATGTCCCATCGGGGATAAGACCGTCGAGCGGGATGCCGAAACCACCTTCGCGAGGGACTTCCACAGTACGAGAAACTAACGGGGGCAGGGGACTGGGGAGAGCGGGGGACGTAGGGACTGCTGGAGCGGGAGGAGAAGAGGGGACGGAGACGATTGAAGAGGGATCCGTGGGAGGGTGCGGCAGCTCCGCGGAGGGGAATGAAGGTAACTCCGAAGAGACAGGGACGCAAGAGCTATCATCTAAGGCGTATGGTTTGAGCTTGTTGAAGTGAGCTGCAAAGGTGGGACCCTCTGGATCATCAGAGGCCCTGAGGATACAAAGAGATTCTGAAGGGATTTCCACAACAACGAAAGGCCCTATCCAATGCGTGGAGAACTTGTCGGCTGACCCAGGAGGCAACCTATCCTGAAACCAGAATACTTTGTCGCCAGGTTGGTAAGGTGCACCGTGCGCACGACGATCATAGTACTCTTTTTGTCGTTGATGGGCCGTAGAGAGATAGGTGCGAGCAAGCTCGTGTGTACGGTTTAGGTTAGCTCGGAGGTTTCGCACAAACTCGTGGGGAGGCTCGGGGGACGGAAGTGGGAGGGCACAGGAAGTGTCCAGTGGAAGACGGACTTCGCGGCCATACATAAGGGCAAACGGCGTATGACCCGTTGACGAGTGCGTGGCGGAACGGTAGGCAAGAAGGCACTGAGGGAGGGCGACATCCCAAGAGGAACCAGGGCAACCGTTAACGAAAGATTGGATCAAACCTCTGAGAGTCCGATTCGTGCGCTCTACTTGTCCATTGCCTTGAGGGTGCCACGGGCTAGAACGAGATTTACGAATATGAAGAAGTTCGCAGAGTTCTCCCATCAGCCGGGACTCGAACTGAGCACCCTGGTCTGAATGGAGCCGTTCAGGCACCCCATGGCGGCAGATCCACTCGCTAAGGATGGCCTTAGCGACGGTGATGGCGTCGGCTTGTGGAAGGGGGACCGCTTCACACCACTTGGTGAAATAGTCGACTAAAACTAAGATATAACGATTTCCGCTGGGGGAAGGGGGCATAGGACCCATCAGATCGACGCCAACAATTTCATTCGGGTAACACGCCTGAATGGGCTGCAGTGGTGGCGTTGTGTAGGGTTGGGTTTTTTGACTTCGGCACATACAGGACACGTGTTGCAAATGTCCTGAATGATCCGCCGTAGATTCGGCCACCAGAAACGCTGACGCACGGCGGTGTCAGTACGAGCTTGACCAGCGTGTCCCAGATCAACATGAAGACGGGAAAGTGTGGGATGGATCGCATCATGCGGCAAAACCAAACGACGGAGGTCGGTGGAACAACATTGAAGAAAAAGCACGCCGTCACAGAGGCGAAGGCTTTTCCACGCTGACCAAAGGCAGCGAGTTTGCCAGCTGGAGCCCTTCATTTCTTCGCTTGACGGTTTTGGCGCACCCTAACGCAACCGATCATAGATAAGAGATATATAGGGATCTGAAGCTTGAGCCGACGCCCACCCTGAGTGGTCGGGAGTGCCAAACGTAATCGCAGTCGCTGGGACGTATGTTGCGACCGGTGGTGGTGCTTGTGCTCGGCGAGATAACGCATCGGCATGCTGGTTCTTTTTACCGGCCCGCTGGATGACAGTGTAAGAATATTCCAAGAGGTCTGCCTGCCAGCCCGCGAGTTGACCGGTCAGATCCTTGAAGTTTTCCAACCAGCGCAGCGTCTGGTGGTCGGTGCGTAAAATGAACCGTTTGCCGGCGAGATAGTGATGAAATTTCTTGGCAAAGGTGACGACGGCTAGAAGCTCCTTGCGAGTGGTAGAGTAGTTACGCTCAGGCTTGGCGAGCGTCTAACTGGCAAAAATGAGGGGATGTTCCAGTCACTCGGTTTGCTGTTGAGACAAGACCGCCCCAATGGCTACATCTGAGGCATCAGTGTCCAAGATGAAAGGTGGGGCTGACTCGGATATGTTGGGGAAGGCCAACAGGGGAGGAGAGATCAACCGCCGTTTGAGTTCCTCAAAGGAACGCTCACACTCGTCGGACCAGTCAAATGCGTTCTGCTTGATAGTGAGACGATTAAGGGGTGCAACTATGTGTGCAAAATCTTTAATGAACCGTCGATAATAGGAGGCCAGACCGAGGAAACCGCGCAACTCGGAAACTGACGTCGGTTGCGGCCAACTGCGTATTTGCTCTGTCTTCGTAGGATCCGACTTTACCCCTTCAGTTGAGACGATGTGACCCAAGAAAGGAACAGACTTTTTGAGAAAACAGCATTTAGCCGGGTTCAGTTTAAGGCCTACGGTCTGTAGACGGTTAAAGACGGTTTGCAGATTATCAAGGTGGGACTCGACAGTAGACCCGTGTACGATGACATCGTCCAGGTAGACCAAACACGCGGTAGGGCATAAATTCCGTAAAACCGACGCCATCAAACGTTGAAAGGTAGCAGGCGCGTTTGCCAAGCCAAATGGCATAGTTTCAATCTCATACAACCCAGAGGGAATGGAAAATGCAGTCTTAGGCCTATCCTCGGGAGCCATTTCCACCTGCCAGCAGCCGGACTGCAGATCGAGTGTGGAGAAACATGCAGCTCCTGCGAGTGCCTCTAGGGTGGTGTCAATGCGTGGAAGTGGGAAGGAATCTTTGACGGTTACGGCATTTAACTTCCGGTAATCAACACACAATCGCAAATATCCATCTTTCTTTTTAACGAGGACGATTGGAGAGGCCCAGGGTGAGGACGAGGGGCGAATGACGTGCCTGTCCAGCATGTCTTTGATGGTTTGCTCTAACTGTTTCTGGAAATGCACGGGTACGCGGCGGGGGGGTTGACGGATTGGTCGAGCTGAACCCGTGTCGATAGTATTCTGCAATACATTCGTTCTACGAAGGGGTTCACCATCCCATGCGAACGCAGCGGAGTTTTTGAATATAAGGTTACGAACAGCGGTGATTTGTTCAGAAGAGAACCCGGGAGAGTCGGGAACCAAATGTACCAGGTCGGAAGGCTGGGGAGGGTGGAGCCCGACTGGGTCGCAAAACAGCTGGGGGTCAGGGGCGTGGGGAAAATAAAAGGGGATTGTAGTCGACTTAGAGGTGAGTTGACCGGCCGCAAAATCGACGCAGAAACGGTGAGCATAGGGAAAATCTGTGCCTAAAATACCCTGCCACTGAATATCCGGACAGACGTAGAAGGGGTGGGAAATTTCAGATGAGCCCAGGCGAAATGGCACGTCGACTAGTAACGAGCAGGAAAGTGGCATACCCTTCGACGCTACAATACGGGGTTTTCTATGGGAAATTTCGGTCTGTTGTAGCCAGGTGCGGGTGAAACCCTGGGGGTTTAGCAAAGAGCAGGCTGCCCCTGTGTCAACAAGAAACGCCACTCGCCTGTCTACAACCGTTGCGTTAACAATGAGAGCAGGAAAATCAGAGGTAGATGTAACAGCAGGAACGGTGTAGGACTCACTGGAGATTTGTGCGACGCGAGCCTGGCGACCTCGGAATGGACGTGTGAAGTTCCGGAATGTCTGAGTCGCCACTGATCGAGTCTGCCGTTTCCGGGCGGCTGAGGTGGAATAACATGGCGCGGCGACTGAGGGATCGTAGCGTTCCTCATACTCCTTCACCAGGGTTAGGAGAGCCTCAGACGCTAAGTTGGGCTTCTTGATCAATTTCCGGCAGAGGTTATCGTCCAATAAACCAGCGCGGAAGTGCGCAGCGAGAACAATATCAGTCAGGTTCGCTGGCTGGTCAGGAAAGGCCGCCTATACCAAAGGGCGAAGACAGCCTAAATAATCTCTGGCACTCTCCCCAAGGAGCTGAAGACGGGACGAGAACTGCCTGTACGCGTCCACTGGGGGCTTGGGCGTTGTAAAAACGCGCCGAAGAGCGCGCAACAGCGAATCCGCGTCGGTGTCGAACTTTACCCCGAAAACAGAGGCCTTTGTTAGCACCTCCGTCGAGAGGTGGCGGCATATGTACCGCGCACGGTCTTTGGCTGCAATGGAGGCCAAATGAACGTTCGCTTGGGAGTACCAAACGTCGAAATTGTCCCCCGGTTTCAACAGAGGCAGTGTGTCCGTGGAGGATTGCTTTGTCTCCAGGACAGACATAAGAGCTTGGCAAAGCTCCCTTACGTCCACGCTGGCGGGCATTTCGGCCGATCTCGCGGTAGCCTGGTCGTGGGACATGGAGAGGAACCGCTGCCACCAGTTTTGTAGCAAGCAAGCAGGCAGAACACGGTTCCAAATCAGAAGATCTCGTCGAAGGAGGGAGAGTGTTTATTAGGGAACGGTAATAGCGGGAGAGCGAAGGGGGAGAGACACACAAGAGGGCTCAAGAGGAAGAAAAGAAGTGAAACACAAGCAGGCAGCCAGAAGATCGAACCGCACACGCCACGGGGGAAACCGGAGTGTCCCTTGTCCAATCAGGCGTCCTCTTCTGAGACCCCGCCCGGGATTGGTTCTTCAGTTTCTACAATGAGTTAAGATCAAACAGAGAAATATGACTATAATAAGGGAGTGGTCATGGCGAGTTTTCCATCACAAGGCCATTCGCGCTTCCGATACTCAACCCTTCCTGTGTTTGGATCTTAAATTTAATCGGTAGTCCGAACGAAACCAGTTGCAGGCCACTCGAGTCTACCACAAAGCGACCAAATTTTCGCTGCGATGTAGAGTCAGATAACCGCCATCTGGAACAGAGCTGATTCAGTCATCACAAAAATGATGATGAGGAGCAAGAGGTCTAGCCTGGAATTCTTCTCCCCATCAGATTTGAACGATTTAAAACCTCAGGGCGATGGGCTGTTCCCGCTACATTTTCTGCGGATGGTTTGGTTGTGATTTGAAAATATGCGGGGAAAGGGTTTGGGATTCCTGAATTTAAATACGTGTACGTGAGTATATTTAAGGGCCAGAAACAATGCCTTTGAAGACCCTATTTAAAACGGTAAACGCAATATTAAGCGTCAAACAAATATGTTACGGAAGGACCGGCAACATATACGCTTTACAGAACATTGTTCTTGAACTTACGGGACTGAAACCCGATAACACTCAGTTTTAAACGACAACAATAAAACAAAACGAGAAACATCCGCATATGCGATAGGTGTATGTAAAGCGGTGGTTTCGTATACGAAAGCAAATCTGTCCTGTTAAGGGGTATTTACAAGGTAATACACGTCCTGCCTATGTTTCAATGTACCTGTAAAGTCGGCCATTATAACTTCCTTTCAAAAGCTCGTGACAGGCATCGACGACTTGCTGTGCGAACGAGTACCTGCAAGCATCTAGATGGGACCGGGCTCATCGGAGTTTGGGGGAGTTCTCACGCAGGTTTGTTGTTGTGGCTATGGCGAACAGGTCATCGAAGCGCAGTGCGCACTTCCTCGGATCTGCCTGTATTTAAGAGGAAATACCTTGGTCGCACCAGGTCTACAGCTGTAATATAAAGTCCTGAGGCTTTTGATAATTTTACGCGGCCTCCTCTAAACTCCTAGCAGCAACTTTTTGTCTTTTTCCAGTCAAGGGGCGCCACGCTTGGATTCCATATTCTAATTGTGAACTGAAAAGGGCTCCACATAGTTTTCAAATAGCTCATCGCCTATATCCATTGCCCATTTGGCCTCACTGACGCATTGTGAGGAGGGTTTAAGAGATGACAGAATACTGTTCCCGAGTCCTTTTGTTCAGTTACATTTTTGGCTCTCCATTTCGTTTTTAGCTTCATTGCGACCTATTTCTCACGATCAAACTTTTGCAGCTATTTGTCGGGCCATTCACAAAGACTGTTCAAATCTTCTTGCAGGGTCCGTTCATCATTTTCCCCGTTGTTCGCTCGCCATAACTGGATGTCATCGGCAAACATGCTGCTTTTGCAGTCGTTCCATCCATACAGTCATTGGCATAAAATAAAACCATTATGGTCAGAGCGCAGAGTGCTAGGGGAACCCCTCTCAATGGCATGGATTTCGCATTGCCAATGATGCGATCAGCCGGTCAAGAAGTCCACTGCCCAGTTTAATAGGTTCCCCTTTATCCCCGACCCTAGGACTTTGAAGAGTAACCAGCCATGTGGACACTGTGACGGCATATTTGTTTAAAAGGAGAGCTGCCCTCGAAAGCCATTTTGAGAACTATCAAAGAAAGTCTATTTTACGGAACTTCAAAATAGCTTTTTTGACTATTCTTCCTGTAAATTTTCAAAAAATAAACGTTAGGCTCACCGGCTGATAACGGTTTACGTCTTTCTAGATCCACCTTTCAACCTTCTTAAACAAAGGAGTAAATGTCTCGGTTAAAAGATGACTGAAAAATATGCAAAAACGGTCTAGCGAGTTCGCAAGCCAGCTCCTTCACAACTTTTGCAGGTATTTTGTCTAGACTCTGAGACGCACATTCCTTAAGCGCTGGAATTTCCTTCCTTAAGTCTTCTTCTGTGAAGTAGAAGCCTTTCATTATTGCATTGTTTGTTCCAGTGGGCAGTTCAGACTAGTCAAGATCCGTGTCATCGACGATGATAGGAGCGAAAAGCTAACTTGGATGTTTTGGCTTATCTTCGTCTTCGGTAATGTCCTCATTGTTTTTTCCTTTCAACACTCAGACTTCGCTTTCTTCTTCAACCTGCTGTTGATGAAGTTGAAGAGTACTTTTGGCCTATCAATGGCCAGTTCCTTAACTCGCGTTTCATACTCCTCCCGCGACCTGAGGATATTAAACCTTACTTCGTTTCGCGTTCGACGAAACTGCTCGTACTGCAAAGGTTGTTTCGTTGTTGCATACTATCCCTAAAGTTCGTTCTCCCGTTTCTTCTCCTTTATCACAGCTCGCACGAACCAGGCAGGACGATTTCTCTTTATCGGACAGTTTCGACACATGACGTTGCATATAACTCCTTTGAAAGTCTTTCACTCAGCGTCTTGGATATCCGGTAAGGACGGCATGCCAGCTCACTGCCGACAATTCATTTATCAAAATAGCAAAGTGTCCTCGCCAGAAATTAAACCGAGGCTCGGCCGTCTCCACTTGTTGGCTGTATAACCGAAATTCCCAAATTAGCATCACATGGTCATCCTTACCGAGTGGTGCTACGGACCTAAGTTCGTCGGCACTAACTGTGCATTTTGTGAGGACGAGGTCCAGGCGATCTGCCTTCTGGGCCTCTCTGATTCCTGTTGGGAACGCGACATTCTGTTCGAGGAAGAGATTAAGGATTAGTTTTGAGAGTTTGGAATTATAAGAGATACCCAAACTGTTTGCTTGTAAATTGTTCTAGTCGACCATCAGTGCGTTGAAGTCTCCGGCTATCACTGTCTCCTAGTATTGGGCTACCTCTTCAATTAATCGAAACATCCCCTCGTCAGCCTCCGAAGTTTGCTTTGACGGTCTGAATACGGTCAGGAAATTCAGATTAGATGCGTCAAGCACCCTTATCTTTAAGCACATTGCCTGACTGTCTCGGGAGCAATTACTTTTGTGTTCCGGCGGAATGATTCCTCTCTTGATGTAGACTATCATGCATTCTTCCTGATGATACAGGTCTCGTCGAAAAAATAGATATCTACTGAGAGCAATTTCATCATGCATCATTCAAGCCTGTAACCAAGTCTCTGTGATGGAAATGACATCTAGTTGCATACCTGATACCCAATCCTTCAGCTAATTTAGCTTTGGAAACAAATTATGTGCATCCTAATAAAGAATGCGACATTTCGCCCGGATAGATCTGCGAACGATTTTTGGATCGAGTTTGCCGGATATGTCGGGTGGCTTGTCCAGTCTAATATGCCCTTTTGAATCCATTCTTATTTGATTTAACTGAACGTCAGTCTTTTGGCCGTCATTTTCATCGGTCAGTTTGACGGAAAGGGGCGTTATTTTTATGATCTGATTGTCCTCTATACTCAGTGTTGTTGGCTGTTTCTAAAGGAATGTGCTCCGAACAGTCGAAATCTTCACATTCAATATAGTCAGATTTTTATCGCCGAAAATGTATCATCTGAGGATTTCGGCATTGAGTTCCTCCCATTTCCCCCGCTCGGCCGATGAGAAATCTCGCGGAAGAAGTGTTAGGTGGGCGTTTCGGAGTGCTCTCTCCCTCCTGAGCAGTTGCAGCTCTCGTTTTTTAATCTGAAAAACGATCTTTGATAACCTGTGTTGACCCGACTCATCATTTGATTCCCTAATTTGTCTTATCCTGAAAGCTTCCAAGACAGTGATGTTCTCTTTCTTTTTTAAAAAAAGATGTGAGGCATTGCTGGGATCATTACATATCGTGGTTTATTCCGTTTTTTGGAATGATGCACAGAGATCCGATGCAAACATCAGACAGCAAGGAATGCGAATGGTTGTCTTGATCTTGTATCATGAAACACCTGAATTCGTTTGCCGGATTGGGTGCAGTTGTGGGTGAAGCAACTAACTTGGAAAGTTTGGTTGATGACACCGACGGCGTATTGGCATGAGTAGGAGTGGTGTCAACTCTTAGGTCTCCAAATATCGGAGGGAACACAGCAACCCCCTCAAATTTCACAGAGCGAGGAAGTGATGGTCGTGTTAACGGCGATTGTCCGATCTTATTTCGTTGCCGTACCTGCAGTAGACAAGCCCCAGTCTAACCCCGAACTCTAGCCCCTAGCCCCAACCCATAACCTTAACCCGTAACACTACCCCCTAATCCCAATCCGTTACACCTAACCCTAACACATAACCCCATCCCCTAACCTCAAACCCACCCCCTAACCCCAATCCTTAACACCTAACAGGTACGGCTAAGGAATCAGATCTTCTCACGGTGATCAATTTCACTCATGGCTCTCCAACACGAAGTCCATCGACAAACGCGGCAGTTGCCTTCCTCCTCATTTTGCGTAAAGAATTTGACTAGGCAGAGTAATTTGTCCTGTAGGGTCAGGCAGGCATGCTGTACGTCTGGTGACACTGCCGGAGAGCCAAAGTAAAAAATAATTATCTGGTCATAAACCGAGGCCAGCGGTGAAATCGCGACGGTTTCCCACGTGTAGACGAGCCAGAGGGCCACCTGCAATTAATGGGGAGACCGCTAATGTTAGAAAATAGGCTGATATTGTCGAAAACAGGGACAGGAAAACTGCTAACGTATTGTAAATATTTATTCACTTTGTATCGAGAAGCTCGCTGTCTTCGGTCCGAATGCTATTGAGATCGTC